TCCCCCCCCCTGGAGAAGCCGCCACGGCTGCCTCCCTTCCTCCCGCCCACCCACGGGCAGCTGTGGCTAGATGTTCCCACGCCTGGGCAGGGGGCACCTAGCCCACACGGGAACACTGGGCAGAGCCCGGGGCCTGCACAGGGGGGTTTTGGGAGCTGGTCAGGCTACAGCCCTGCCCCTAATCCACTGCAGGGAGGGGAAGATGAACAGGAGTCCCCCACCAGCTCAGACCTCGGGCCCGACGTGCCCAGGGCCTGATGCCAGGGATATAACCCATCAGTAGGCAGCTGGGCACTGTGAGGCATTGGCCAGGAGAGCGGAGGCGTGGAGGCTGTGCCCCGTTCTGCTTGGCCCCTGGCATGGTCAACGTACCCCTGAAGCTCAGGGCTTCTGCTGGCTGTTCCTAGCCACGCTGCCCCAGGGAGACTGCTGGTTATGGACCGGTCCATCTGCAGAGCCAGCATCCGGCACGACGCGCCAGCGGGGCAGCCAGTGCCACCCCCGGCTCCCACGCACCCGCGCCCTTCCTTTCAGCTCGCCGGGAGCCAGGCCAGGGAGCAGGGGCGGGGAGGGGTGTCCAGGCACAACCCCCAGGTTCCCCGAAACGCGCGCTCACCTCCACAACGAAGGACACGGCGAACGTGACCAGCAGCATGAGCAGCAGGGAAGCTCGCCAGGAGGTGGGGGTGCACACGAGCTGTGGGAAAGGGGGCGGAACCTGTCAGCAGAGTGTCCCCCCCAGAGGGGCTGTGCGAGCTGCCCCCGTCTGAGTGCTGCAGCCCCCGGGACGGGCGCATTCGCCGCGACCGGCCGGTGGGCGGGTCAACTCGCTGCCTGGCCCGATGCAGCCCTGACAAAGAAGCGCCGATGTCGCCTTACATCCCATGACTCTGCAGCCGGGCACAAGCCTCGTTCTGGGGGGCCATGGGCGAGCTTGTGAGGGCCCCTTTCCTCACACATGCTGCAATCTGCAGCCCCCCGGGCCTCGGACCCCAGGAAAGTGTCTCCCCTTTTCCTCTCTGTGTGGAGGCCCTGGCGGAGAGAGGGGGAAGTGCGGATGACACTAAGCTGGGGGGAGAGGTAGATACGCTTAAGGGCAGAGATAGGGTCCAGAATGACTTAGACACATTGGAGGATTGGGCCACAAGAAATCTGATGAGGTTCAACAAGGACAAGTGCAGAGTCCTGCACTTGGGATGGAAGAATCCCAAGCATAGTTACAAGCTGGGGACCGACTGCTTAATAGTAAGTCTGCAGAAAAGGACTTGGGGGTTACAGTGGATGAGAAGCTGGATATGAGTCAACAGTGTGCCCTTGTAGCCAAGAAGGCTAATGGCATATTAGGTTGCATTAAGAGGAGCATTGCCAGTAGATCCAGAGATGTCATTATTCCCCTTTATTCGGCTTTGGTGGGGCCACATCTGGAGTACTGTGTCCAGTTCTGGGCCCCCCACTACAGAAGGGATGTGGACACATTGGAGAGGGTCCAGCAGAGGACAACCAAAACGATTAGGGGGCTGGAGCAATTGCTCTATGAAGAGGCTGAGGGATTTAGGTTTCTTTAGTCTGAAGAGGAGACCATGAGGGGGGATTTTATAGTAGCCTTCAACTTCCTTATAAGGACACAGGAACGCAAGGTAACCTGTTCTCCCAACTCTCGCTTTCAGACGGGGTGGGGAACCTTATTGGGCGGGGGACGGGCGGAAGGCACACACTAGTAGGCTTGCCAGATGGTTTCAGCAAAAAAAGGTCCAGGTTGGATATTAGGAAAAACTATTTCCCTAGGCGGGTGGGGAAGCGCTGGGCTGGGTTCCCCAGGGAAGCAGTGGAGTCTCCATCCCTAGAAGTGTTTAGGTCTCGGCTTGACACAGCCCTGGCCGGGTTGATTGAGTTGGGATTGGTCCTGCCTAGAGCAGGGGGCTGGACTTGATGCCTCCTGAGGTCTCTGCCAGCTCTGTGGTTCTATGATTCTATGATTAACCCCAAAGCCAGATCCCAGCTTCCAAAGGTCGGGTGCTGGGTGGGTTCAGCTCCCTGGAGAGCGGAGCGTAGATCTGGAGCGTGGCTGGCTGCTTTCAGCAGGGCCAGGGGCTTTCCGAGCCAGCCTTCGGTTGCCCGCGGTTTCCTAGTTTTCCGAGGCTTCATCTAGGGTGTAAACTGCAGCGGGTCCCTCTCCCCCAGCAGAGACCCGTGGGACGCTGCCACGAGCCCTCTCCCTACAGCCGGTCTAGTCCCTGGTGAGTGGGTGCCCGGGGGTATGGAGTGAGCAGGGATCCCGCTGCCTGAAAAGTGCCACCTCGTGGCAGAGCCTGCTAACCAGGGCTGCCGGTTCCCACGCGCCCGGCTTGCTGGGATTTCTGGGGAGGAGGGAGTCTGGCGGGCTGGGAAGGAGCAGTGAAACCTCAGGCTGTTTCTGGTGGACTGTGCATTACTAGCTGGACCCAACTGCGCCGCTAGCGCACTGGGGCCACGCCGCGGTGGACCCTGGCCACGAGCTCGAGCCACGTTAAACTGCTATGATCAGCTGGGCTCCCTTAGGCTGTGACTGGTGGCAGGCCCGGGGGTGCGCAGGGCCAGCCCAGACGGCAGCCAGGCCCTGCCTGCCGCTGCGCTTTACACTCACCCGGCGCAGCCGCCTCCGGGTGCACCCCGACCATCTTGGCCCTCCCGAGACGGCCAGCAGGGCATGGGGGCGGTGGCTTTGGTGACATAGGCACCTGTCCGGGGGGGACTGGACTGACCCATACACGGTCAGAGAGCCCAGGGCCAGGCTGCTTCCAGCTGGCGATGTAGTGGGGGCAGAGTGCATGTCCCAGGGCCCCAGGAAACGACTCAGATCCACTTGACACTGGCCTTGGCTCCTGACCTACTGGGACACTCGGGGGAGCCTGTGCCGGGTGTCGGCTGCGGCCCAGCACGGCCGTTGGTGCGTGCAGCCGGCAGTGGGAGGTGGCTGCGTCATGCCCAGGCCTTGGGAGACGAGGCAGGGCAGCTAATGCCTGTCATTAGAGCAGCTTCAGTTGGGGAGACGAGCTCTCGCTCCTCCCTCCCCCGACCTGAGGGAGAGTTCGGGGGAGCCCGACCGCCCGGCTCCCTCTCCCGCCGGCTGGCCCACGCGGGGCCTTGCACTCGGAGCACTCGCCCGGCACACGACTTACGTCCATGTGGGAGTAGAGCCCGTCGATGTCGGCGAACACCAGGAAGACGCAGACGCCCAGCTGCACGGCCAGCACGAGGACAAACAGATCTGAGGGACAGGGGCAGCCGGGGGCAGGGGGGTTAGGAGTGTCCTCAGCCACCCCCGAGCCCTTCGCACCCCAGGCCAGCCCGCACCACGGCCCTGCAATGGGGAAGAGTCTGCAGCCAAAGGAAAGGAAACGGAGCAAAACCCTCCAGTGTTGGTGGGTCCAGGGCACCCTGCAAGGCTGGGACAGCCTTAGATTGCTAGGCCGGAAGGGCCGCGGGGAGCTGGTCACACCTCCTGCACCCCAGCGGCTGGACAACCTGCCCCTGCGATCCCGGGGGGCCTGAGGACTCGTGCCGGAGAGAAGCCGGGGAGTCCTGCCGGCTGGTGCCCTGAGAGCGCTGCCCTTGGCTTTGGTGGGGCCAGGAGGTCACGTCTGGTCTCCGTGACAGACGGCACGTGGCAGTGGGGCCATCGCATCCCGAGGGGCAGCTCTCCTGGGCCTCCTCGCCGCCCTGCTAGACTGCTCCCACGTTCCTAGGTGAGCGGGTCTCATGCCAGCGCCCAGCCCTGGACCTTGCCCTGTGCTGGACCGAGAAGCCCCCGGCTGATCTCTCCAGGGGGATACGAGGCGTCACGACTGTCTCCTCTTCCCCAGCTCCTGGAGCAGCGCGAGGCCCAGGCCTTTCCCGCCCGCGACCCGGACAAGGGCCCAGCCGGGGTATCCC